AAATTTCAATGAATGCCCTGCGGAGGACCTCCACCTACTTTTATATTTCTTTTTAAATTTCCTTTATCTCAGGAAAACCCAAAAGTTCTCTTACTTTAGGCAACTAACAGAAATATATAATCCATGAAAATCCAGGATCTAATCATGTAGTAAGGTATGACTGTGTGTGCACAGTACCTAAACAGAAAAACAGCAGACCCTAACTATTTAGTGACTCTAGGCTTCTAAAAGGGACAGGACACTTTGAAAAGCCCAGGTACAAAGGCAGGTGGCAGTACTTTAGGGACACCACAGCAGCCCTAATCCGTGGCTGATCCATCTCCAGACTTTGGTGATGTTTGCTCCACTCCAGCTGAGCTGGAATCTGGTTCAGCCACAATGATCTCTGTAGCCTCTGCCACATGCACTCTTTGTCACTAAGCATTTCCTTTCTCTGTTTACTCCTGCTATTTTTAAAAATTAACATTAGCACTTAAATAAATAAGAAAAATATAGCAGAATACCAATAGAAAAATGTGCAAAACACTTGAACAAGCCATCCTTAAAGACCAAAAAAAAAAAAAACTTTAAATAAAGGACATGTCAAAAAAAAGTTATCAGCATTATTAGTAACAAAAAATACCATTTTCACCTATCAAGTTAGGAAAGATTTTTCAAAAGATGATTATTACATGGGTAAGAACTAGAGGCTCTGCTAAACATCAAGCCTACACACAAAAAAAATGCTAAACAGATAGGTAGACAAAAGCCAGGCCTAAGGATGTATATCACTTAAAATAGTAAAATGTGGGAAAGAACATAAAAATCTAAAAATAAAACAATGACTACATAAATTAAGACATCCACACATTGAATTATTTTCCAATTACTAAATTGTATTAAAAATGTCAATTTTAAAAAATTTCTTGGGAAATATCAACAAAGAAAGGTTAATTTTTAAAAAAGCAAGTATGAGGTTCTACAATATGATTCTAATTCTTTAAAAAATAGTACACATTATGCATCATGGTAAACTACACTGTAACTTCAATGGCAATTCTTTAGGCATTGGGAAAATTATAAGCTCTCAGGTACATGCCAGGCACATGTTCAGCACATTATATACAATGTATTACATTTATGCTTACAAACATCTTGGGCCGTGGGTCTTTATCCCTGTTGAATATCTGAGGAAACTGAGACTCAGAACAGGTAAGTAACTTAACCATCGTGACAAAGCTCTTACATGGAAAAGCCAGGACATAAGCTAAGGTCAGCTTGACCCAAAGTTCCTATTCATCACATCCATGTCTGCCCACATAATTTTAATTTTCTGTTTCATATATATTTATGTGTTCTAGGGGATCTAAAATAAGCATATAGTACCATTATAATTTGAAAAAAATTAAGAATATAAATGTTATATTAAAAATTGCATATTCACAAAGTGACAATTCTAAAAATTGCTTCCTTCAAAGACCTAGGACCATGAACAGGATCTTTAGGATCTCAAACTAGTGTACCTGGTAATGAGCATGAGCACTCCTTTTAATAAATGTAATGCCAAAGGCTTTCATGAGCCATATGAATTCTGCAACATTCATTCATTTAAGAAAGATTTATTGAACACCTGCCTTTTGCGAGATACTGTGCTAGGTGTTGGCACAAAAGCAGGAGAACCAGTCTAAATGACTTTCTTTGGATATTAGGAAAGTCTTTGAGGGATAAGTGGAGAGGGAAAGAGAAAGGGAAAATAAGACTGTCAGTCTAACACTGAAAGTCCTGGCTACATACATGTAAGGAATTTTTTTAAGCTTTCCATAAAAACTTAAAATACTCCTGAGGATCCAGGACACCCCCCAGTAAATGTCCTACAATTTGAAGCCTCTATAATGCATTCATACTTTAATTGTACTAGTCAGATGAACGAAAATGCTTTTAAATATCACATGGTATTATTCTCCTCCACAGGCTGGCTATACATTTGCCTTCCTGGGTGGTACAATAATTTGATTTTTAAGTAAGCAGACCTGGACTCTCAGAAAAAGAGTTCTTAGCAGAAATGGAGTTGGATAGATTTACATCTCTCTTGGCTCCATACCTCTTTGCCCATATGCCCACCTTCCACTTCTCCAGAAAAGCCCATGTCTTTCAGCAAACTTCTATAGCAAAGGCCATTGTCTCTACAACTATAGATTAACAAGTAAATGCTTTCTTACATTTTAGCTTATGAGTCAACGAAATTTGTTTATAAATTTAGATTTAGATCATTTACTTTTATTTGGCATTTATAAGAAGATGAAATAAGTTAGGATACATATATTATAAATAAATATATATTTCTCCTTGTCTACAAAGCCCCAGGTCCTAGTTATAGGAAATGTTATGTTGTGGTTTATGGAAGATTTTATTTATTTATTCGCGAAAGACCCAGAGAGAGAGACAGAGACACAGGCAGAGAGAGAAGCAGGCTCCCTGTAGGGACTTGATCCCAGGACCCCAGAATCATGACCTGAGCAAAGGCAGATGTTCAACCACTGAGCCACCCAGATGCCCCTAAGGAATATTATTATTAAGAAAAAGGATCAGAAGTCCATATGGATGACAGTAATTTAGACTTTCAACACTGAGTTCAGATAAATTTGGACCCTGTAGGGAGATCCCTAAAAGCAAAGAGATACCTATTTGAGAAGGAAAAACTGGCATGCCTTAAAATTGAACAGGGACAACAAATTAACTCTCCTTGTTAATTCCCTTCCCTGGGGACTAAACACCAAGGAATCATTGAGAAACCAGAGCAAAAAAAGGTCCAAATTGGTACAACAGATACCTTATGTTGTTTGTAAATTAGGTGGTTTTCAGACTTCAAATTTAGGAGGGTGGATGACTGCCCATAGTTCTGAGATCAGGTGTCACTGCCATGGAGATTCATCCTATTTAATAAATGATACCATCCAATCTTCTCATAATAAATACTTGTTTTATCATCTCCAAAAATCATAAACTACCCTCCTATGGTTTCTCTAAATATAGTTTTTTAAGATTATAAAAATACTGAGTAAATCTACTCTCCCGTGAGTGTGCTAATTACTGTTTTAGTTCATGGTAACATAAGAAATGGCTTAATAACAGCAACTTAACTGGAGGAGGTCAAACTGCTCTCATTCATTTAAACTAATGAGCACAAATCACCTTTGCATTTGATATTAGCGCTATAATGCATATATGATGGATACCTGCTACTATTAACTCCCAAAGACTCTAGAAACAAATACAATTTAAAGCATTTCAGTTTTCAAAATTACCTAACACACATAGTTCTTAGGAGCTATGCGACCAGGAGGAAAACCTTATTTCCCACTACAACAGTAAAAAAAAAAAAAAAAAAAAACCCAAACTGTTTCTCATTTCTCCAATTCAATGGTTTCAGGAGGATTCATTACCCGGAAAACCGGTATGGATGAACGCCGGAAATGCAGATGACATCCAGTCTCAGAAATGTTTATTCTAAGTGGGAACCAAACTATAAGATTTCTCTCTGTGATTGATGATCGCCTTCCCATGATAGAAATAATCTCCCTGTAAAATAGTCTAAAAAAGAAAGAAAGGGGAAAAAAAAAAAAACAAACTATGGGAAGCTAGCAAAGTTCTCTAGACAAACCTGCCAGAGACTCTTTCACAGAGGGAGGCATTTATTGAAGAGTCAGGGAGGTTAGGGAAACTATGCCAGGAGCCAGGGGCGGTCTTCCCCGAGAGACCAGCAGTGTCCCAGGTGAGCGGTCCCGGTCCCGGGCTCGGGCTGGAGGCGGAGGGCGCAGGGCGGAGGGCGCAGGGCGCAGGGCGGGTCCGCGCGGCGGGCACCTTCCCGGCCGGGCGACCCGACCCCCTCGCCGCCCGCGGGACCCAGCGACTCCCGAGGCCGGCGCGGGGCTGCCCGGGACGCGCTGCCCACGGCCTCGGGATCGCGAGGAGCATCTCCCCGCCCGCGGCTCCCGAGGCCGGCGCTGTCCCTCCGCCATCCTCCAGTCCTCCGACATTTTTCCCCGAGACAGGGAGGTAGGGAGAAGAGGAAACGACGGAGCGTCTGCAGCCAGACGGTGCCGCAGCACCAGGCGAGGCGAGGCGAGGCGAGGAGGAAGGAGGCTGGCGAGGGGGCAGCTATTAAACTGTGCTTCCATCGACGATGGAGAGAGTCCTCAGCCCCGGCAGGGGAAGTCTCGGGTACACCCACCAGGGCAGCGGCTAAGGGGGGTGGTGGGCGTTCCTCCTCCGGGCCCCCCGAAGCCCAGCACACAAGAACTCCCTTTCCTACGACTAACGGGAGGGGAGGAACAAAAGAGACCCCCACGCCCTGCACACACACACACACACACACACACATACACGCGCGCGCGCGCGCGCACCCAGCTCACCGACGCTCTGGGTATGCATTTTTGCAATCCCTTCGGCTTCCACCTTCCCCACCTGGTTGATGCATCTACCCAAAGGTAAAGAAAGAAAGAAAGAAAAAAACAAAACAAAACAAAACCCCCAGCACCCCGAGGTGATCGGTCCGTGGGGCACCGCTGATGTCACATTCGGTTTTCTAACAAACCACCACGAAAACCCGGCCGGACCGCGCGCCCCCGCGGGGTCCCCGCCGCCCCCGGCCGAGCCGCCGAGCCGCCGAGCCGCCGAGCCGCCGAGCCGCCGAGCCGCCGCGCCGCCGCGCCGCACGCCCGACCGCGGGCTCCCGGGGCGGGCGCCGCGCTCCCCCGGCCCCTCGGCCGCAGCTGGAGGGCGGCGAGCGGCCCGCGCGGCGGCAGCGACGCGGGATCCAACTTCCCGAAGCGGCGGCGCGGCCCCCGCGCCCTCCCGCCGCGCCCGCAGCCTCGGCGCCGGGGCTCCGGCGGGGCACTCTCCGCCCCCTCTCTCCTTCGCCGCCCCCAGCCACCACCTTTTAAGAATTCATCCGTCGGGGCCGAGCAGACATTTTGATGTCACTCACTTAGCACCGCTCGGTTCCAGCGGCAGCACCTTACCCCGTCGCCTGGAGGTGTGGGCAGCGCACCGAGGGGTCCGGGGGCGCGAGGCTGGGCTGCTCGGTCCTCTAGCGGAGCCGGTTCGCTGCCATCCGCCCAACTTCAGCACCCAGCGGGCGAGGAGAGAGGGAGCGAGGCGAGGATGGAGGGGAGAGGGGAAGGGGAGGAGGGAGGGTGGGCGGGGAGCGAGCGGGAGCCGCTCGGCAGCGCGCATGCGCCCCGCGGGCGGGCGCAGCCCCTCGCCCGGCTCGGCCCGCGGGGCCGCTTCTCCTCCCCGCGCGCGGCCGCGTGAGTCACGGCCCCGCCCCCCGCGCCCCCCCCCCGGCGGCCCGGCCCCCGCGCGCTCGGCTCGGCGGGGCGCCCTCGGGGCGGGGGGCTGGGGGGCGCGGGGTGCTCGGCGGGAGCCTCGGGGCCCGGGGAGCTTCTTGCGCGGGGAGGCTCCGGCGCCTGGGCTCCTCCCCCCCACGTTCGCCCGCAGCCCGCGCGCGGTGTTTTCTCGTGCGCTTCTGGAGCCCGCTGGAAACCAGGCGCTGGGCTTTAAGCCGGGGGGGGGGGGGTAAAAAAAAAAAAAAAGCTGCAGCAGCGGGGTCCCAGGGAAGCAGTCCCCGCGTGGGGCTTCAGGAAAGAGTGGAGTTAAGCAAGTTTTGCACACCCAAGGAGTCCACCCTGTGAAGAGTTCTTTACTGACGTCCTCACCCAAAAATCTGACCCTTTTCCCCCGTAAGAATGATTTCAGATCTGGTCTGGAGGGGTGGGGGGGTGGGGGCATATGTTCTGTCCCAGGGGTCTGGACCGCGGCCGCCCGAGTTTGGAGGGAGAGAGAGGAGCCGATGACAAGGCAAGAGTCGCGAATTAACTCACGGAGGCGTTGATGCTATAGGGGCCTGGAGCATCCTCTGGGGACAGCTCGGGAGCTCTCGGGTCTGATAATTGTTCCATTCGCAAGCGGAACCCAGCTTCGTAGTGAAGAAGCTTTCGGATGCTTAATGCGTCGTGAGCGCTAGATTGCATCTCCGATGATTAAATTTGAAGTGTTTGTGAGGGCGAATTAGGGAAGCGGGCGTCTCTCCTCAGATGTGACATCTGTGGGAAGAGGAGTGAGTTCCTGGCTGGAATGATTAGGCTTTTTTTTCTTATACCTACTTAAAACTGTTTATTCGTAAATACATAACGATTTCCCATGGCTTGTATGCGCCCCTGCATTCAAACGGTGTTATTCTTATTTCAGGCTCCCTTACTGAACACCCTCCTGGCCTCCCCCGCCCCCCTCTATCTAAGTGGGTTAAATATACGTCTTAGGGTTTGCTCCAGGCCTCCTTTCTCCGGCTACATCATGGCTTTAAGCACTAGTGCTCTTCAAAGTGTATCTCCTGGACCGGCATTGATGTCTGTGAATTGTTCCTTGCTAGTCTCTAATGAGAGAAAAGTACAGAAATGGAGAGTAACATTTAGAAACTTTCATGGCATGCCTTGGCATCCAAGCACAGTAGTCAGTTGTGCTTTGGAAGCCTTCTTTTATTTGCAATGAATTTTTGTTGGATTTTTGCAGTAGTATTGGTCCATGATGCAAAAAAATATTTTTTTTTAAAAAAAGTGGGTTTTTTTCAAAATTAAAATTGAAAAAAAAAAAAGTTTTATGGTTTGGGTAGCCCCAAACCCTGTATCACTCCCAGACTTATATCTTTGGTCCTGGTCTGATAGAATGCTTTTATGGTGTTTCAACTACTTTTATGGCTCCATTTGAGGAATAATTATACTAGTAAATATTTATTGAACCATTACTGTGTGTTAGGTTCCGATCTAAATGTTTTACATACATATGTTTCTTATTTTCTCTACAAGGTAGAGGCTATTCTTATGTTTCACAGACATCTCAGAAGCAGAACTCTAGATATCCACCCCCTCCAAACCTGTTCCTTTTCAAATTGTTCCACTCAGTTACTGTAGTCAAAATTTAGAAGCTATCTTTGTTTTGTCTCTCTCTCTCTCTTTTTTTTTTCACCTCACATCTAATTAATTAGCAAGTCACCTTGTCTCAACCTCCAACACATATCTCCAGTTCATCCACATCTCTCCCTCTGCATTGTGATAACCATAGTCCAAGCTTCTATCATCTCTCACAGGAACTACCTACAAAAGGCAGCAGTTAGTCTCTCTTCCACAACCCCAAAACAACACATTCTCTAAACAACATCTGAGTGATCTTTTAAAAACATAATCACATCAATTGAGGCGCCTAGGTGGCTCAGTTGTTAGATGTCAGACTCTTGATTTCAGCTCAGGTCTCCATCTCAGGGGTCATGAGTTCAAGCCCTGCGTTGGGCTCCTTACTGAGCATGGAGCCAATTTAAAAAAGAAATTTAAAAACATAGTCACATCATGTCATGCTGCTGCTTAAAAATCTCGAATGAGTTTTCACTGTACTTTAAATACGACCTCTAATCCTTACCACTGCCAAGAAGGTTCTGTGTAACCTTGTCCTAGATTACTTCTCTTACACCATGCTCCTGTAGACCATAGCTATGTGTAGTGTACCTGTTTCTTTTACTTTCTTGAATAAGTCTGACTTATAGTACTTGCTGTCCTTTCTCCCCTTAGTCCTCTGCCCCCAGATCTTTAGAGTAGGTTAAACCTTAATATCCTAAAGGTCTCTGTTAATGTATCACCAACTCAGGCTTTACCTAACCACTCAGCGTAATCTTCCCCAGAGTTCTTCTCTCTTGGGTTCCCTTGCTTTATTTTCTTTCAAATACTTTTCACTATCTGAGTTGGCTTGTATTTGTTTACTTGTTTATTTTTGTATAAAGATTTTATTTATTTATTCATGAGAGACACAGAAAGAGAGTCAGAGACACAGGCAGAGGGAGGAGAAGCAGACTCCATGCAAGGAGCCCAATGTGGGACTCGATCCTGGGAATCCGGGATCAGGCCCTGAGCCAAAGGCAGACGCTCAACCGCTGAGCCACCCAGGCGTCCCGGTTTACTTGTTTATTATCTCCTTCTCCTCCTCTAGAATAAAGTATCTCAAGAGTTTTGCCTGCACTTTTCACTGTTTTATCTCCAGTGCTCAGAACAAGATTTGGCACACTGTATATACTCAGGATTTAGCGGATGAATTCATGATTGAGTGAATAAATAACACACTTAGCAAAAGCATTCCTCATTTCTTTTTTCTGGTGCTTCTTCTTGGATCCTCATTGCTGCCTATCAGAATCTGTTGTTTCCCAGAAGACCGCAGATAGACTACATCGTTTCTGCTGCCCACTCTATCAAAGATGGCTCCTTGCAATGTCACACATTTAAACTAGATGCCAGAGTCCTGTTCTTAGAACCAACTTTATGACAAGCATCATCAACAAGAAAAGAGATCTTTTACTTCCATGGGCTTCTCTAAAATATAATAATGGCTGTCTGGGCAACATTTTGCACCTGTAACAACTTGGATATTCTGTCCATAATTTACTTGCTGAAGTCAAATGCAACTTCTTGGTGACTTTCATAGGTATAATTTGTAGTGAAATCCTTTATGCATTATTAATTAGAATGCTCAATGACAGTGTTGTAGGAACTGGATATGTTGCCTTCGCTCTGAGTGTTGAAGAGATGGGTGCAAGTAACCACAGCTTTAATGACCTTCACCTCATAGAGTTTGATCACTTGCAATCTATGTGAACATCTGGGTCGCAGGAAATATTTGCAACAGCAATGCATTAAACAATGACTCGGTGAAAAAATCCATTCAATAAACTTTATTAATGTCTGCCATATGCCTGGTATTAAGTCTTCAAATTTTTTGCAAAAACTGTAAATGTTATATAAAATTATTATATATGAGTCAGAAATGGATTTCGGTTCATTATAGCCATGGAGATGCCTTCTCTTTGTACAGAATTTAAGAGCTCCTTGGGCTTATCGTTATCAAGCAGCTGTGTGGTAACTATGAAAAGAAGTGTTTGATCATGATCATTTCCATACCATTATGGATGCATTTTTCAAGTAGAATCTGGATACAGCAGCAGATTTTGGTATAATGACTTCATAGTAAGGCAGACAGGAGATCTGCAAGCAAAATATTTGCAGACAGAAAATATTGGAAAAGGACAGAGCATCAAATGTTTACAGTACATTTACTCATAATTAGGGGTCTTTTTCATCTTTAGGACACCTGAAATCTACCTCAGTGAGTTTGGTAACATTGGACAGTTATTTCAGGAAGAAATTATGTGGCATCTTTACATTTCATTGTCTCTTTTCCAACATGTTCATTTATTTAAAAGCAATGGTTTTACCTTTGAAAAGCAGAGGGAAAAGGAAGAAATTTTCTTCAATCTAGGAAACCCTGACTGCTCTGTCTAGGCAAACTTCATCAGAGTAGAGCCAGAAAGACAGTTAAAATGTGACTGCTTAGACATGCTTTTTTCTTTAGTTTTGGTAAACAGAGCTTACCATGTTTCTTCAATTGGTTTCAATCAAGCCTTAGAGACACATTCTTCTCAGAAAACTTTTTAGATGGAAACAGTCTGATTCCCAGATATATAAAATGAGATATAATTAGAGTTTCACATTTTACATGTACATTTTTATAAATCATGAGTTATTAATGTTTCTTTAACTTATCAGCATCAAACTTAAAAGGCTTAATATTATTCTGATAGAATGGCATTAGTGCTTTATACCTCAACATAATTGAATGAAGTCCATGGAAACAGATATAAAGACCTTCATGTGATTTTTATCAGTTAATGCTCAATTTTGTACATCATAAATTCCTGCAGTGGTTTGATAAAATAAACTTGAGTCTCAGTCACCCAAGTACTTTATAAAAGTGCTCACTTGATGGGCCCCACATATTCACGTTCTCTTTGGTTCAACAGATCTCTCATATGGTGTTGAACAACAGTACTCTGCTTCTCCATGGAAAATAGCAAAATGTTTATATCAACTAGAAAACATGATGATATTCAATTATTACAGTCAGATTCTTTGTGAATGGAGAAAGATTTCAGAGTTTAGTGGTCTACGTTATATTATCTTGAGATTTTGGGAAGATTCTAAGTGGTAGTAGCTGGATTGTAGAGCAGGCTTTGACTTTGTCAGAACTTCCTCCAGTGTTTGATGGAAGGAAGGTGG